TTCTCTCTCTCTCTCTCTCTCTCTCTCTCTCTCTCTCTCTCTCTCTCTCTCTCACTCTCACATACATACCAACAGATACTGAATTTTCAATAAATTATATAAACTATAGTATATTGTTATTGTTATTGTTATAGTGCAGTACATATTGCAGATGTATTTTACTAAAAATTTTTATGTTCACAAAAATGTATGACTTTTTTATCCATATATTTTACCAAATATGAAGTTTTTAGTGAATAAAGCAAAGAATATCTTTGGATAAAACTGTTTTTTATTACACTTTTCTTGGGTTAGAAACTATGGTCCGAACCAAACAATTTGGTGTCCCTTTTGAGCTAATCTCGTAAATTCTCGGTTAACTACAGCTCAAAGAAATTTTATAATATGAGCCCATTGTTCATCAAAATACATGACTATATAGAGTTGACTTATATTTTTTGAGAAAAATTTTACTCAAAAAACGCAAATCATAAGAAAAGACGAGAAAAGTTCATAACATTGTGTCCATTCATTGAAACCAAATCTCCGGTCCGTTTAATAGAAGTTTACGTTTTCACATAAATTTTTATTAATATTTTTCTTTTAAAAATTTAGTTCCCATTAAACGCATTTTAAACTTTTATAAATATTTTTACTTTCTCACTATTATTATTTAATGACTTAGTTGTGGTTGAAAATTTTTAATGTTTTGGTACACTACATACAGTATTGTATAATAATTAAATTTCTATATAACTAATTGTATGTCAAATAATATAATATGTTTTGATAACTAAGTTTAAAAATTTAACAATCTATAAAAGTTAGACAAAATGTTACTTTTATATAATAATTATTGATATTTTTAGTTTATGTATATTTCATAATACAAACTAAAACAATGCAAATTTTTAGTATTAAATTTATTACATAACTAATATCATTGTAGCATATTTTAAGACATATAATATATCTTTGCTTTACACGAAACTCAATACAAATTACTAAATTAATTGTAAAATAAACCTAAAATAATGTTTCTGTGGCTAAAAATATTTATTTGTATCGTTAGGTCAAACACTTGTATGAATTCTCCATCACTTATAAGACTTGTCAGATCAAGTCGTAAACAATTTATTTGCGATAAGTTTGTGATAAACAACACACAAAAATGTGTATTTAAAACTTGTTTAGTGTTTACAAGTGTGAACTATATATTTTTGTAGATATTTATTATTAAAAACAATTTGTCTATCATTCATTAAAAGCTGTCAAAAAATAGTGTAAAGTTATGTCAAAAATACTGTAATTATGTAAATCATAAATAATACGATTATAAATAATTTTTATACCAAAATACTTAATGTAAAGTACAGTAGCTATTAAGCTATTGAGAGGATTTTAAATACAATTTAAATATAGTGAACACTTGTCACACAAATAGACTTTTATAAGACTTGTATTTTCTATGAGAACAGTGTTGTGAATGTTTAAAGAACCGACAGTTTTGTGTCTGAAAAAGATATTTTGGGGTAAAACTCAATAATTGGTAAGTTTTTACAGGTTTTTATAAGCAATCAATACAAACGGAAATAAGTATGAATTGAGTGGAAATTTTGTTATAAATATCTATTTTGTTAAACAGGAAGGATATCACTGCTGTGTTAAGGGATGTGGGGCTCGGTTTCCAACGTTAAGTCCATTTGTCTTCAAAGTTTTCACCAATGCTTACACCGTATATTTCATCAAACAGTTGCACACCATATAAATCAATAGATATTTGCCATAAAGTAATTTATTGGAAAATAGACTTTACTTTATGAATTAGACAACTATTAAATACCGTTACAAAGCACACACCAATTAAGCACAAAATACTGTAAATTTGCGCCAAATTATAAAAAATATCATAAAAACATAAATAGGGGACATCTGCTTCAGATACCGGTTCAATCCATGTGATATAGTGTGACAGTTATAGTTAAAAGAGGAAAGGGTCTCAAACGAGAGAGAGAGAGAGAGAGAGAGAGAGAGAGAGAGAGAGAGAGAGAGAGAGAGAGAGAGAGAGAGAGATTGGACTTACTCTTAGTACTCAATAAAGCGGTTATTATAATCAATAAGAATTGAAATTCTTTAACACATCAAAAATGATTTTTTGCATAATAGAAGAAATTAATGATTTATATAGATATCAATAGAAAAGATCAATAATAAGAGTCTTATATCAAAATATAGTGGTTCTGCTTTGCCTTATCTTAAGTATTGACAAATCAGTAACCGATGTAGTAATCGGTTCCCATATATCGCACGGACGGTACATAAGACATGGTGTGTGTGTATTGGAGTATTAATTCAAATCATAAAATCATAAAAAATGGATTTAAGGAGCGAAAGAGTTGGTCCCCTTTTTAAACTCTTTTATTGTTGACTTTCAAACAATCATTAATAAAAATGACAAATTCTTTCACTTACTAATCATGTTTTTTATGCAATTGAAAAACCATTTATTTGTTACCCTAACACACAATCAGTCACTGTTTCTGTATTTTACATATAAATCGTATGTTTTATGCCATTGAATTGATAATCCAAAATTTTATTGTTAATATAATTAATGATATAAAATGTTTGTTATAACTTATTAAAGCATTTCACATTCAATGATCTTATTTTTTAAATCATAAGAAGATTATAATATTGTTTGCATAGCATATATATATAAACTTTCGTATAATAAAAATATCAACAATTTTATTTAAAATTATAACCAAAATTTTTTACTTTTATATACTATATTGTATTAATAATATAAAAATAATATTATATTTTATATATAATAAAATTTTGATAACTGAAATCGTAAATTGTATTTAATATTTAATATTAAATTTTAAATCATAGTAATAATTATAAGTTATTGTTAGAAATTAACAAAAGACTTAATTATTATTGAAATTGTAAAACAAATTTATAATTAAAAATGCAAAATACTGTTTATATTGATCACAAAAGATTAGTTTATGGTGACCTTCACATCAAATTTTCTTTAGATCTTATATAATAATAGGCAAAATGTTTGGCCTTTACATTAAGGCTTTGATCTAGAATTATGGCTATTATTTAAAAATCCCATAAAAATCTATTTTTAAAATATTCGTTTTACACTTAATTGTATTGATATTGAATTAAAAATTAGTTTAATAGTTAACTAAATAACTTCCACAATAACATAGAGTATTGCTTCTAAATTTAATTGAATTATAGTTATATATAAATTATTTAACGTATTTTATAATATTTTAAAGTAGCGGTAAGTCTTAAAAACAGTTAATAAATTTATTGTTGGCTTAATTTTTCACTCATTTTTATTGCACAGTATTTAATAGAAAACGTGAAAAATAGCAAATAATTTGCACGAAATTGTGTTGTCATCGGTATCGTTGTATCGCCGCTCGCGTTAAGCCTTACAGTATATTAAGGTTTAGGTGTTTTTTTTATCATAAACTCATCCAATAGCTAACACACTATATATTCTGCATAAAATGAATACAAACACATAATATGGGCATAATTTGTGTTATATAGTGTTATATAGTGTTATAGAGTTGATAGATAGGCCTCAAGTTTGTGTGCCGGCGGCTAAAACGTGACCAAATGACAGGTGCAAATGGGAACACATTTTTTAGTCATAGACTGACTCTGTGTTCACTAGAAAATTGAAAATAGAAGTAAACAAGAAGTGCTTCCAAAACATTCACCAGATCTACGGTACAAACTATAGGTGTCTCAGTACTCAATATCTCTGTACTCAACAAACAGTTGACTTACAGTATGTTATGTAAAAAATTGTTGCCCTAAAGTTTATGGGATGACCACAACTATAATGTAGTTTACTTATTAAATATACATTTTGTTGTTTTAAATATAGTATTTTGTTATTCATATTTCATTAATTATAATAGAATCTTATAATTAATTATTTGTGGTTATATACAGTACTGATAATTATTAAACTGCAAAAAGTTTTGATAAATTGACGAAATTGATAGCATATTAATTACTAATTAGACAGTTTGTAAATATAGACAATTTGAATGGTTAAAAAACTTGTAATAAACTTATGTTTTATATATCTTAGTCTTAAAAATCATAAACATCTAAAATTTTGAAACATTAATGAGAAAATTTTAATTTATTTGTCAAAAATCTTATAAAAATTGAAATAAAAATACAAATGTTTGTGTTAAAAAAAGTATTTTAATAATAATATCATATAAATGTTATATACATTATATGTTGATATTAAATGTCAATTTAGTAATAAATTTTATAAATAGGCAAATAAAACATTGTAACTTTGATACATAAATATTATATTTTTATATTAAGAGTATTCTGTAATATATAGTATATTATATACTGTATATAAAGATTAAAGATTTTTTTAAATGTTTTTTGTAATTTGATAAATGTTTTGAATCAATGTTTTTCATAAAACTCATATGGTTTATAATATAAACTTTATATAATATATAGTATATATTATAAATTATATATGTAATCTACAATATAATAGCATATGATTTTTATATTATACGATATATCAAACAATATGATAAGGATTTGTTGTCATCGATATATAGTAGTGTTGCCAATACTATGTCTACTTCGGGACAATTATACAATTATACATTACATTATACATATACAGTATTATTAGTACAATATATTTGAAATAAATAATATCATCTTATATTAAAGTATTATAAATATTGTATTTTTATATATTATTTATAAATTATATACAAATTAAATCAAATTAAGTTTTGATTTCCTGACATCATTGGATAAATTAAACCAATAATAAAGTTATTATAAAGTTTTGTTGATATAATATCATAAATGTGAACAAAATTACTAAAAATAAAACTTTATTATCAATAGTTATCAGTTATCTTCTGACTAATGAGTCATAACATATTCAATACATTTATATTTACATTCATTTACTTTATAAACAAATATTTCAATTATAATAACTGTTTTTTGATTTTAAATTAGTCACACATTTGTTAGCAATAAATATATTTTGTTTTTCATTTTTTATAAATGTGTAAAATTAATAGTGATTTTTAATAAAATGTTAAAATATTTAATTTTTCTCACATTAACACTCTGTTTAGTCAATTGTTTTGATTTTTATGATCACTTCTTGAATTCTTTAGAGAGTCATGAGTTAGGAGATAATAGCGATGAGAAGCCGTGGAGCGGAACTATTTGGGCGGTTCTGGTGGCGGGTAGTAATGGTTGGTTCAATTATAGACATCAGGCAGATATATGTCACGCTTATCAGGTTCTTCACGAACATGGAGTCAATGATTCAAACATCATAGTCATGATGTACGACGATATCGCACACAATGAAGAAAACCCAACCAAAGGCGTTATCATCAATAAACCCAATGGAAGAGATGTCTATAAAGGAGGTAAACCATCATTACTCTCATATATGCCTTTTCATTATTTGCTTTTCTTTGACTGTATCGTCAATTAACACCATCTGTACTATTGTTTTCTTAGTTCCCAAAGATTATATCGGCAAAGAAGTGACGCCAAAAATGTTGCTTAAAGTCTTAGAGGGGGATCAATCTCTTCATCAAAAGGGCAAAAAAGTGGTTAAGAGTGGTCCCAATGATCACATATTTCTATATTTCGCAGATCACGGAGCACCGGGACTTATTGCCTTTCCTAGTGATGAACTCTATGCTAAAGATCTGAATAAAGTACTAAAATCTATGGCAAACAAAAAAAAGTTCAACAAAATGGTTATCTATATTGAAGGCAAGTAATACTTGACTTAATTAAGACAAATAACTTTATTTATATAAGATTGCAATGATTTCTACTCATTGTTTGGTTATACAATACTTTATATTAATATATAATTATTATTTATCAAAAGTATCTTTTAAAATATTTTATAATTAACTTTATGGGATATTAATACTGTAAGATAAATGCATTATTAAATTATATAAATTATTAGGTACTGTATATAATAGAAATTAATAGATAAACAGAAAGCGAGAAATGTAATTGTAATGTAATTTAATTATTTAGAAATTAGATACAAATTTTAAAAAATACTCAACATTTGTGACAATAAGAGAGAATAATTTAGAAAATTCAGAAGCGCTATAATAATAATAATAATAATAATAATTCATTTTTTGAAAGAAATTTATAACTATATCAGAAATTAACAAAAATCTAATTACTTATATAACAATAATTCATAAAAAGTCATGATTCCTAATATTTAATACATTTTGGTTAACTTATGTCACGAATATTATATTTACAAAATATTAATAATAGTTTTGAAATCATAAGCTTTAGTATATTATACTTGAGTTTGTTATAAACTATTGATATCCTATACACAGTAATAGTGATTATTATAAGCAATTATAAAATTCTTTGAAATCTTTAAATAATATAATATTATATTATTTATTAAAAATATTTAATAATAACAGTAAATTGTGAAATGTATGAATAAATGTCTGGAATAATAATAATAATAATAATGTATTTATTATATATATATAATATATATGTAAAGCCTGTGAAAGCGGTTCAATGTTTGCCGGATTACTGCCGACTAATATTAATATATTTGCGACGACTGCCGCCAACTCTTCAGAGTCGAGTTATGCCTGTTATTATGACGATCAAAGAGAGACCTATTTGGGTGATGTCTATTCAGTCAATTGGATTGAAGACAGTGATGCCCAACACTCACTAATTGGAGAGTCATTACAACAACAATTTAAACGTGTTTTACGGGAAACTAATACATCGCATGTCACTGAGTTTGGAGACATATCTATAGGAAAACTACCGTTAAGTCAGTTTCAGGGCTCCAAACGATATAATAAGACTTCTGATGGAAAGGTAGAGATAAGAGATGCGGTGGCGAGCAGTGATGTACCGCTGGTTATAGCTATGAAACGACTTAACAAACACAATCAGACAGAAGAGCAACGGTTCTTAAATAGATTCAATTACGAAGAATTACTCAGAGCTCGAAGTTTTCTTATCAATTCAGTTAAACATTTGATACACGAACTCAATATTAAATTGTATTCAGTGGACAGTATTTGGAGCGACAGAAGAGTCCTAACAAACCACAACTGTTATGTCGATTTGATCCAACATTTCGATAATCACTGTTTCGATCTCTCGACACATCCTTTTGCGCTCAGATTTCTCTATATTTTTGTGAATATTTGTGAGACATTGGAACCAAACGAAGGAAACGCCAGAATAATTGAGAGTTGGATTTCATCTATTGTTAAGCACTGCTCTCTTCATATATCAGATCATCCTTTTACACAAATTCTTTAACTAACTTTTGAATGTCTTAAGCCATTGGATTAATTTCCTCATCAGATTAGAAGTTTGTCCTAAATTTGAAATAATAGGCAAATCTTTTGTAAATTGAGGTACTTTTGCATAAAATATTGTATAGTCAGCTGTGATTTCAATTAAATGCACATATAATAGATATATTTAAATAAAATAATATTTTATCGATAATAAATTTTATAAAAAATAACATATGTTACAAATAACAATAAAATATTTTATTTTATAATTTTATCAACACATATTTTAAATAATACAGTATATTAAATGTATCAAATGTTATCAAAATAAAAATATAAGAATATATTCAAAAAATAAACTAGGTACTATTTATATTTAAAATGCTTACTGTAATTAACTATCAAATTCCACATTATCTATGACTAGTCGTCCACTAAATATTGAGTTTTTAATTGTATATTACTTTTAAATTAACAAATATATCAATTTATCTAACCTAATGTAAAATTTTTAAATATTTGACACCAAAATAGCAATCATTTAGCATAAAATCTTAATTAAAATATAAGTCTAAGGAAGATATTGAGAAGATTATAATTTAAAAAATATTGGTTTATATTTAATACATAATCGCAAGTTAAACAAAAATGATTTCTACAATATAATACAGTATTCAATCGCAATAATAGTTACTATTTGTTGATTTTATTGCAACAATAGTTAGCATTTTTTATCGCATTGACTGACCAGTTATTGATCGACTAACTGATCCGTATTGACTATGTTTGGTCTCAAAAGAGTCATTACTCTGGACTTTTGCAGAACTTCTTGTGTGAATTCCAATGAAATTTTTGACACTCAATGTTACAATAGGCCACACGTTTGCATTGTGAGCATCGTTTGTCTGGATTTGGTTCACCACAAGTGCCGCAAACTATCGAGTCTTCGTCAAATCCTTTCTGACCATTGACTGCTTGCGATAGTATCGATATAGCACTCGGCTCTGACCCGATATCGACAGTGGACAGCGTTCGGATCAATTGCTGAAAGAGAGCGCTTTCTTGATAGGGATATTCGCGAATACTTTGTCGCAATAATTGTTCCAAATATAAGGGAAAGCCGTCGCCCTCTCGGGCCTTAAGCCATGACTTAAGAAAGGCATCCAATTTGTTCATTAGTTTCTTTTTGGTGACTCTTTCCTCAGCATTGTCCTCATCATTATCTTTGCATTTAATATTAATGTTAAGTTGTTTAAGTAAATGTCTTAAAATAAAAACCAAATAATGAACTTTCAATGAAATCATTTCGTTTTGTTTTTGTCGCAATTGTTTTTCGCACAACAACTCCAAGACTTTAATAATTTTATCGCCGTTTTCTATAAGAATCCAATTATCCTTGAGATGTAGTCCTACTTTAATTGGATGAATGTTTGTCTGTCTGACCCATGTATGCAATGGTGAGACCAGTCGTAAACTAAGTCGCGGCTCTTTTTCTAAACCTTGGATTTTGGTGTAGTACTCGATGTCATCTCTGGATATAAAGTTATTAATGATAGCAACGGCCGCGTGTTGGCCAACAAAAGCTGCCATTTGTGCGGCATTTCTATTGACTGAATTGACTGCATTGATGTTGGCCTCACTTTCAAGCAATAGGCTCACCACCGATAGATGACCTCCGAGTGCGGCAAACATGAGTGCAGTGTATCCGTGGATGTGTTGGCAGTGATTGACATCGGCTCCTCTTTCGATGAAATACCGACAGATCTCATGATTTCCTTTATAGGCCGCGTGTTGTAACAAATTCATGCCATTGTCATCACAACAATTGATCCGCACATCGCTCTCATTCAACAATTGTTTCACTTCTTCTAACTTATTTTCGGAGACCTTTTGGATCAATTGTTTCTCATTTTCAGACAATTCAGTCATCATTTGATTCAATAATTAAACTAATTATAAGTTATATAATAATAATATAATTACTACTAATAAGTGACAAATAGATGTCAACAATCATTGTATTAATGTTTACAATCGATTCACTCGACTCAACACAACCATTGGTTGCCATAGTTTTCATTTCATTCATAACAACATTATTCATAATATCGTCTCATTTGTTGAAATAATTTTCAAAGATTTTAATTAATGCTTAAACTCAATAAAAATTAAAACTTTATTTGATTATAATAACTAATTTACAATACAATACAATACATTAGAAATTTATAAGTAATCAATAATAGCAATAATAATAATATTAATAGTAATAATAATTATAATAATAATATCAATAATGATAAAATTTTATGAACAAACAAATGTTTTATCCAAATATGTATTCAAATATATTCACAATTATATAAAATAGTGTCATTTTAAAGCTTAAATTGCCATTAAATTCATGGCATTTGATTTGATTGAATCGCTAGGTTTCCGTCGGCAGTTGAAGGACCTGTGCCAGCCGTTCCTCTATGAGAAGTGCCATTACAAGAACGGGCAACACTCTCAAACAATCTATCAAATAATAAATACAATTAAATAAAAATATAGAAAAAAACTATCAATCAATCAATCAATTGGTTAATACTTTTCAATTTCTGGAGCACATCTGACAAATTCGTGATTCCAGAACTTAAACGTTGGGTTCTTTATTAACTCAATAAATGTCACTAACAAACCCCATGGATGGGGACGGTTGACAATTAGACGCTCTAATAGGACTCGTGTTATTTGTTCCTGAATTGCTTCGGTATTGGATTCGGCAAACAGATAGAGTAGAGTACAGCTGAAGTAATGAGTGTGAGAGTTGGGATAACGCAACTGATTGGCGATTGCGTTCAAAAATAGATAGCGACCTATAGATAGATTTGCAATTAGTTTCAATCAATTATAATAAATATAAAACACAAACCCTCAGTGTCGAGAGCGACGGCCAAGTTTTGAAAGATATCCATATGTGATGAATGAGATATTGATGACATACTAATACTTTTGGCCGGAAGCGATTGAATTGCTGATTGCCCCACATATAAAACTAAGCCATTAATTAATGGTATGTTATAATGAGCCGAATCGGCGGCATTGTTGGGAACAGATTGCTGGAGATATCCTCGCAAATCACTTAAAAAAGCAACTGGACTTCGACTGCGAAGATAAGAATCCAAATCTTTTTTAAACACTTGAGTTCCAAAAGTAGCCAAAGTTGTAGATCCACGCGGCGGTTGTGTTATCTCATTGAGTGAATCAATCTTTAAATTTGGTGTAAATGGATCCGGAAGTCTCATGTTTCGCGGGAATGCACTCAATACAAGATTACGCATTTGAATGGCATTACAAGGGATGACATCACATAATCCGTAACAATATTCGCATAGAAATTCTGGAAAGTCATGCAATAGAACCAAAAAGACTTTCAAAGTGCCCTAAAAAATGTAATATAATTTGAGTTTCATTTTTTAAATTAAGTATATATACTGTATATTAATAATACTTTATAGAGTGAATCCATAGATTGTGGTAATTCCACGTTTCGAAGGAAAGGGGCCTCAAATTTAATTAAGTCGACCAATAATTGGGCGTACATTTGCCATCCTTTAGTTGGTGTTCCAGTATTTATAGATCCCGATAACAGACACTTCTCCATAAATGTTCGGTGACTAATGAAGTCGAGCCATGCGAATGCAAATGACGGCACTTTTGATGGCCTCAATATGTGAAGTGTATTACAGAAAGCGGTCAATACTTGATATTGAATTGATTCGAGCAATGGGTCTAATTGTGATGGATTGAGACCCAATCCAATTTGATTGTGTTGTAATAAAACCGATCCGGGAAGTCCTAAATTGGTTGGCCCTAAGACTAACTCCATGAAAAGCAATACAAATATACGATAATATGGTAAGTGTTGGAAATCGGCTTGTCTTATGTCTTGATCTTGAGTGGCCACACCAGCAATTATGTTCAGAACTTTATTCAAAAGATTCAGTTTTGCGGTGGTTTCAGAAGCGGCACCCGAAGCAGCAGATGAGGAACCACTATGTTTGACAAGCATTACTATGAGATGGGTAAAGGCATCCAATGTATGAAAACATTTGGAGCGGACATCAATAATATTTGATTGGCCGGGTGTTTGTGCGGCGGCATTGAGTATGCGATAACACAATTCAACACACATTTCAGTGGATAATCGGAAAAATCGAGTGATTAAGTCATCGGTCTTTAAAATTCCCTATAAATATATTAACATTTTGATAATTTTACGGATAATATTAATTCACAACTAATTAAATTACCTGAAGATTCATTTGTTGGACATAGAATTGGAATATCTTACTGGTATTTGCCTGAGAGTGATATAATTGAATCCATTCTCTTAGAAGTCGTTCAGTTTTCTCGAGAAGACCGGGAGGATCGACATCGAACTGACGCGTTTGGTTCACCGCGTCGTGCATTTGAACCATATTTGTCGGAACTTCATTATTGACTCCAACGGGACCAGATTGAGGACCACGAAGTATATCAACAATTTGCTGAATTTCAGCCATTAATGGGTGATTTGATACTTTACTCAAGCGAATTAAATTTTCAATAGTATTGGGAAAATCGGTTTCACTAAAGTTATGGCCATATATTTTAATAAATTGAAGTGTAAAAGCCAGAGCCACTGGATTTTGGGTTGACTCTATTAGTTGTGCCAAATGAATGTCCATCATCTGAAAGTTTATTAGTTGTGCTCTAATAAGTATCTCCAGAAGTTCATCGGGAAGTGCCGGTCCGGTCGATGAATTAAACAAACGATCCAACACAAGACGTGTAATCTGTTTTGTTGTCCATTGATGTGTGAAAGCCCGCGGATCAGACAGAGCTTTAAGAATAACTAAATATATATCGCGTGCGCGTCCGATGACCATCATATCTGCCACTCCTGTTTGATCTACATTTGTCAACAATTCTTGAATGGCTTCTAAAACTTTTTGAATCAATGTAAGCGCACACATGATATCTCTTGGATTTTGACGGGCGAGTATCAATGTCTCAGCAATAGATCGAATACTATTTACAAATGGTTCCGATGGCATGAATTGAATTTGACTGAACTGTCCCATCAAAACTTCTAATTCATTCATTAATTTGTCATAAATGGCAACAAGTGCTGCATCGGCTGCTTGTGGCGGAACTGGTGGCATATCTGTGACAAAATTTGATGCCAAATTTGATGATGGCATTGATGTTGGCTTAAATTGAGACATAGAAGGAGCAGCAGAACTAACTACTTGTCCAGTGAGAGCATTTGACATAGAATTGGGACTATCGGTGATGGGCGACAAAAATCCGGGAATATTTCTACCCAATTCTTCGTAGACATTCATTTGTTGTTGAGTGACTGGACCTACTTTAAGACGAATAGCTTCGGGCATTCTTTCCGCTTGATATGTAAGAACTGCTGGATCGCAATAACGACGACCTTCAGCTCTGGCGGCTCTTCTCATTTCATACTCAGTCTTCAACTTTCTGTCCAATTCTATCAAAGCTTTTTCAATAGCAGTTTTTTGGATGAAACAACAGCACAGATCAATATTATCGGTGGCTATGGTATGAGCTGTAGCTTCAATAAGTTCTTTGGAAACTTGACATCGATTAACAAATGCATTCGTGAGTGCAGTTTTGATGGACATAAACAACGGATCTTTACAAGTAATCATAGCCATACCAGCCGTTAAATTTCTGGTCAAATAGTGAGCGGCAACACACATATGGTTCTCATCGGGATCTAAAGCAAAATCTTTTTTGATGATATTCTCAGCGGTTGTCAAACTTATTTTCATACTCCTCTCAACCACCGGTACAATCCATTCTTGAACTGCTCGCTCAATAGCAGGTCTAACCAGTTGTTTAAGAGCTGGATTAAGATTAAGAAGTTGTAAATTCGGTTGAACTACAATGTGCTGCAAAAATCCGTTTGTATTGTTTACATTGATTTCATTGTAATCAAAAAGTTTAATGCCCGGTGAGTTTAATTGTGTACCACCAATAGGTACTGGAGCTGTCATTGGCATTGGCATAGTCATAGGCATAGTCATTGGCATAGGCATTGGCATAGTTGGTACTTGTGTATGAGCTGGCATTAATTGTGGTGCAGGAGATGGTGTATGTGGTGTGTGGTGATGAGTTGTAAGTGTAAGTGTATGATCGGGTAATGAAGGTATTGAAGTCACAATTTTTGCTGCGCCACCCAATTGATGATCAATTTTAGTATACAATTCTCCTTTTAAAGCATTTGATTTTCCAATCAATGTATTTATATCTATATTTAATGTTTTGCACAATACTTCCACTTCAAACTTAAGATTGAGTTTAATATTGTGTTCCTGATGTAACTCAACCAGAGCTCTGATAATAGCCATTGTCCATGGATTCGGTGGTTTGAAAACACGAGATTTTGCACAACTTTCCAAAATTTTTGCAATGAATGGAACAATGTATAGAAGTTCTTGAGTTCCTCTGTGATAGGATTCTACTAATAAATTCTTAAGCTCTAAGTCGACACTGAGAATTGGCTTATTCTTAGCCAATGATAGCATTCCTAACCAATGACCTAAGTTCTTAAGTAATGATCGATCACTAAAGTTGGCGATCTCTTTATCACTGCTCAGCAAAACTTTGATATTCCTATGAGTTTCATTCAAAACAATTTTTGTTAATTCAGGCATTTTTAACATTTCAATAAAATTAGCGTAAAGAGCGTGAAAGTTAGGCTCAATTGATGCTCTCTTCATCACAAAGTACTGTGCGATCCAACCATTATATTGATCGTCATTTCCAATCGCTTCTTTGAACTCTTCAGTTTTGATCGTAAGATTGAGTTGTGATAAGTTGTTGATAATAAAAGCAATCTTGTCTTGAATAGTATCGGGAGGAACGGTATACATTGTCTCTCCCGCAGCTAATAATGTGTCAATATTTGTGGCATTTGCTATTGAAGGACGCGAGTTATTTGTTGTTGACATAACTGATGTATTAATAGATGTAGTAGTTGTGATAGTAGTCATCGAAGCCACAGTAGTAATGGTGGTTGTAATTGGTGGCTGAACTACCTTTTGGTTCAATAAATTTAACGTTGAATTCAAATTACTGCTTAATTGAGGCATAGCTGATGCTAAACCAGAATTAGTAGCAGCAGTAGATCCAGCAAGAGATGGAATTCCAACGGGTGTTGTATTGAGTCCGGGTCTCATCGATGGTTCCATTGATTGAGTGCCACATTCAATATATTCAATGAGATGCGGCGGAAACTCTCTAAAATGTGTTATTTGTGCCAAATGTTGACAATATAGGGGATAATCTTTAAGCTTAGACTTGAAGCGATCGAGTGCTGCAATACCAAAGTAATACATTTTGCTTCCGTGAGGTTTCCTTAAAGCCTCCAAAACGTATCGCAGAGCCACCACTAGTGCCATATACTTGACTAAACCCATTTGAATGATACCTCCAAACAGTTGAGCTGTTATTAGTAGTTCCCGATCGGGATATTGCGGGAAAAATCCATATTCTTTAAATAAGTTTCTAATCATACAAATAAACACTTCTCGTTCTCTCTTAGCTGGCGAGTCCTGAAAGCGGCGAAGCATATCAAGCACGTCATCGATGGACAAACTTCCTGACTGTTGCTGATTATAGATTCTTTGGAAGTATGAATCGGCTTCTTCTTCAATATCTACGCTAACATTTTGTTGCATTTCTGGGAAAATGGTCGCCCAATCATTTTGTTTAATACTTTGCGCACTTTGCAAATTAGCATTCAATGTATTATTATTTAGATTTTGTTGTGAACTTAGTCCCAGAGCATTAAATGATGAACGAATTGATGGCGCAAATGTTGAATTAGTTGTGTCAGGAGTTTGGCTAATATTCAAATTACCTAATCCAAGATCACCGATAACTGATTGTGGTAATGAAGGCAAAGTTGGTCGAGTAGTACTGGTAGGTGCTATCATTGGTACGACTCCCGGCGGTCCTTGTCGGGGAAGTTTTGTTATAAGACGTGTTGAATTGGCCACCATTGTTAAGACAGCATCGGTAACTTCTTTAGACATGGATTGAGTAGTTGTTAGAGTACCGGTAGTAATGCCTGCAATGCTTATGCTTTGTTGTAAACAGGATAACATTGTGGCCAATGTTTCTGCTGGTAGTGTCATACTTGCGCTATCGGTTGGACTTCCGGCGCCTAACAATGCCGGACATCTACGAGTGAGAAACAGAATACATGCGTTGACAAAACTTTCGCCATTGCACTCAATCTTATCTTTAAGCCATTTGTCTAATTTAAGATATTCACGTCTTGATGCCAGACAGGCCAAGTCAATGACAAATGGAAAACACGTGCCGTTAAGCAATATGTTTAAAGCTTTGAGATCTTGTGCCACATCCAGTATACGAGACAATCTTTGCTGTTGTTCCTCATGAGGTGACTTAATATAATAATCACACATTCCTTGAAGTAACACTTGTTTGGCCCAATTGTTGGTATTTTGATTAGCATTTGGTGTCAATTCGTTTGTATTCCATATTGTATGCAATATAATGGCAGCGTTTGCATGATTTCCCAGAAACACAGGTATCGCTAAATTAAGTAATTCGTTCTTAATGGTCGACGAACCGTCTCTACAGCCTAACAAACCAAGAGCCACAAGATCTGGACACTGTTGAAGTGGCCATTTGAATAACTCCATCACATTCGAGTAAAAGACTGAACTCATTTGTGATTGCATTGAATTGTAATTAATTGTACAAAAGTCGACTAATATCTGATAGAATCGTTGATATTTCCATGAATTCAGTTCAGGTGACGATTCAAAGTCTGGTTGACATTTCAACACATCTAAATGTGACACTAATTGATCGATAGACCCGTCACTGCCGGATAAACTTGTGGGAGAAGTGGATATAATTTTGCCAATTAAATGATTTTTAATGCACTGAACTATAAATCCAAATTGAAATTCAATATTATTTGTCCATAACTTGTGGAAGAATGTGACGCCCAATACAGATAAACCTTTAAATTAGTTATTAATATTAAGTATAAATAATTTAATAATAAATTGATTTAATAAAGACATACCCTGTTTATCAGTAGCGCACAAATTGATACAGAATTGCCAAAATCGATGAAAAGTATAATTATTTTTATTAAACGATAGATTGCCAAACATTCTCTTAGCGTTTGCAACAAATGCTTCACAATCTATAACTTGAATTATTTCAGTCAAAGGAGAAGCTGAAGACATTATTTCACGACAAATATCAGCAAATGTGTCGATCTCTTCACATCGTTGTTGACCAGATTGTTGACCATCAGAAGCACGTATTTGAGAATTTTCGCAAATGGCGCACAAAATTTTTGCACAAAGTTTTGGCGTAACATTGAACTGTTGGACTACATCTGCAGTTAACGACACACCACTTTCATTGACAATCATTCCTGCGATCTGATCGTCAGTCAAACTACCGGCACTCGAGGCCAAAGATAAACTCTCCATTTGAGTAGACATGTCTTTTAGCAAATCCTCAATGTATGGTAAATACAAGAAACGGCTATTTGAGGGTATAGTGTCACTCAATTTTAAATCTAATGAAAAATATAAATAAAATTAATTGAATTTTTTAAAAATCTAATTCCAAATCAATACATACCTTCGGTTAAGCTTTGAGACCAAGATTTGTGTTTAAAGTTCTTTGTTTGTGTAATATTAAAATGTGTCAATTGATTCAATGAAGTCGAGTCCCTAATGGATAATTGTTCCGCAAAATCAACACTATTAAGACACGTGAGCTGACTCTTGTCTATCAGAGCCAACTGAAAGGCAGTCCTTTGAGTGTCATTCAGTTTAAGACATTTACAAATATTATCAACATTTGTAATATCGAGTCCTTTCACAGAGTATTTAATAAGTGTCACCCAATTGGCCGACGAAAACAAGTCTAAGTCGGCCAACAATTGCTCCAATAAAGCACTTCTTTGTGGATCACTTGACGATGTGATGTTCGTAAACAAACACCGATAGATCTGACGTTCGCATTCAAAGCCAAAATCACTTTTTAACTGATCCAATGATAACAGATTTCATCGTTAATACATTGTTGAATAAAAGACGCAATTTTACCAATTAATACATACCTTTAACAATAGGTTGAGTTGTGATTTGTAAAGACGTTTATTAAAATCTACAGATATAGTAGTGTTGATGGCATTAATGGCAGCCGAAAGTGAGTCCAATGAGTCCATACATGAGGTCTTCATTATGAAAACTCGTACCAAAACAGCGATTCATTATTCGTCTTAACATTCATTCGGGTCAGAGATGGCCGACAACACACATACAGACACGCAATCAATCGCTGGTCAGATATTAGTTTAATTAATTCAATTGGGAAGTGTTTTAGTGATAATCACTGAACACCACTCTTGAGTTACGACTTAATGTCAATACATATGTAAAGCAATGGCGAACACAAAGAAATTGAGACAAACAGTCAGTCATTCAATATATTAAACACTGAATACACTGTCTATAGTATAGACTGTACTCTACTGTAGTATTCAATACACTATACACTCAAACACTATACTATCCAACACTGCATTCAATATGTGAATGCCTTTTACACATAACAGTCAACCCGTTAACCAATCAATGCTCATATAAATCAAAGTTATCTGAATCAGTGATTCAACTTTAATAACAATATATAACATTCAATCATAAATATACTGTAAGTCATATCATATATACACTCATTGGTCATACATTTATACATATAAATTGATTATTACAAAATGACCATGCTCATTAAATAACCATCATTTTTGATACAATACTCTACATGTATATTCAATTGCTATACAATTATCATCAAAATTATATTAAAATATTTTTAATTGATTTATTCATATAATATAAGCAAATAAGACAAAGTATAATAAGTTAAATGAATGACAATTTTATTAAAATAGACAAATACTTAATAGTTATAAAATTTTATTAATATTAATACAAATCAAATCAAATCATTAGTTTTTGTTAGTCTTCTTGCTTTTAGAATCGGATTCGGAATCCTTTTTGTCGTTTTCTTTATTGTCTTTGTTTTCCTTATCATTAGTTGAATCCTTTCCCTCTTTTTTCGAGTCTTTCGGTTGATTCTCTTTTTTCTCTGCGTCTCTGTTTGTAATCTTATTGTTGATCAGATTATGCAATGCAATCACCGAACGAACCAAAGCGGCTAAATAGACGACAAGCATCTGATCGTTGGTTTTAACAAATGTTGATTTAACAAACAGTTCACTGGATGTGTTGGGTAAGAGATTAAAGATATCTTGAAGTAAGTAAATGATCGGATGATTGATTGGTAGTTTGTTTGTCACCACAAGATCTAAGTACTTGCGAATGGCGTCAATCTGTGACTTTAGGCCTTTTAGACCCATTAACTGATTAGTCACTCTCTGAGACAAAGTGCCTAAAGTGGTGTCTTTAATATCTCTTAAAAGATGTTCGACTCCTACTTCCTCGGCCTCTTCAGCGCCAATTTCACTGACAACGTGTTCAAAAGTCTTAGAAGTTGGCGACCCGTCGTCGTGAACTTCTTCGACAGCAATGTAAGCTTCCGTCGGTATTCCCAAATCTTTGGGTTTCGCGTCAATTATAACCAGAACTGAGTTTTGACAATATTTGCGGATCAGTTCATTAACTGCGATATCATTTTGTTGTAATTTGGGTCCCGTGTGATACCACCCAACGATACGCTCCTTTGCATTCACTTTCTTAAACATTGCGTACATATTCTCGAGATAGTCGTGATCTAAGAACCAAACACTTCGATCTCTTTCGTCTTCATCAAAGGGAACTATTAGATCAAACAATGAGTTATTTCTGATATCAATTGATATTATTAATTAAATTACCGGCAAAACTGTTGGATATGTCGAGAACACCTTTGGATTTAAGTGATCCCAAAAGTATTCCGACGACACGCTTCTGATTACCGATTTTACCCATTCTGTTGAAGTGATCCACAACTGATAACAACACCAATGGGTGGACAACCACTTTAGTGACGGCCAATTCGGCCACTTGTCCCACAGCCACCTCTTTGACAGTACTGACGGCCACTTTCACTCCACCCGTATTCTTGTTGTCCATTGATTTCGACAATCGATTGGTTTTTGACTTAAATGTTGAGTCAATAGATGTCTTGAAATGAGTGAAGAAGTGGTCAAAAGTGTCAACAATTCGCTGAATCACTTGATTTCATATACAATTCAAAAGGGCTTAACTTATATACAGATATACCTCTTTAATGTAATTCATATTTCAAATTATTATATTATATTCATTCACTTAAATTAATCATAAAAATTAATATAATTTAACAAAAAAATGCAAAAATGTATAATTTGTTTATTAATTGTTATTATTTTTAATTTATTGATTTTAATAATTAATTATTAAATAACTAATTTATAATATAATGAGATATTAGTGTAATTTAAAGCCGATTATAATTATAAGAGAATTAGTACTTTTCTATTAATAAATTAATAGGTATAACATATATATAATAAATATGAATAAAAGGTCCGAATATATATATATAGCCTTTTGTGGTTTAATAAGAGCTCAAACACAACGTAAGATAAATTTGTTACAAAAGTGTTCCCCAAATGTTTGAAATCAAATAAATATATGTATTGTTAGTATTGCTAAATGTATTAAAATTGATTGATATAACAGTTTCTATGAATTATTCATATGATATGTATAAACAGTAATATTGTTTTTAGTGTTATTTTTGATGACATAATCATCTGATTTTTGGCCACATCTACGACATCATCGGTCAAAACAATGGCAGCGAAGACCAGAGTGGACAACGTCTGTGACCTACCGGTCGAGTTGTTGGACATTATTATGACTTATCTTTCGTACGACGAGACGGCAAAACTGCGATTAGTCTGTCGTTTGTTTGATAGCTGTTCCCAACGTCTTCTTAACCGCGGTTTCTCTAAAGTGGAGAAATATCACGCAATTTGTTTCAAACGGGTTAAACAACAACTGCCGAGAAGGGAATCGGAGCGCAGGAGTCATCCACTGGCCCGACATTGCGAGGTGTTGTCGGCCATTGAGACCAGACTTTCACTATTAGGTAATATTAGAAAATATAATGATTTGCTAATCAATTGATTATTTGATGTGTTTTTGTTGTTGTGTTGGCAAAGGTATGACATTTATGAAGTACGTAGAGATGAGTCTCTGTTGTTTCATTCCCGGCAAAGTCATCGATGAAATCTATCGCGTATTGCGTGTCATTCAAACCAATCCAAACCCTCCTCGAGTTCACGAATTAATGCAAGAATTGCGTGACATATCATCGATGGCTATGGAGTACTTTGAAGAAAAGATAGCACCAACTCTTAAAACTAAATTGAGTGCTTCATCCGGTATGATGTCATCGGTTGCCTCACTGAGTGCCTCGGCTATCGGTTCCAGTCATCGATCGTTACCAACGACATCGAGTACACCATCAGTGGCTATGACCAGAATCGGCTCATTTTCAGACACAGAAATTAACAAAAGCAATGCTAATAACGCTTTATTCTTACAAATACAGACCTCACAAAACACTATTAAACGAGAGTTAAATGACATTAAAGTTAAATTAAAGGAGTTGTCAAACGTTAAGAGAGATATAACGACGATTAGGAATAAAGTTAAAGATTCAGAAAAGCTATTCTTTGAAAAGGATCAAACAATTGCAGAATTGAAGGCAGAACTCGAAGATCTGAAGCGACGTATGAATGAAAACGAAAAGAAAAATGCCATTAATTCCAATAATGAACAACCAATTCATAAAGAGACTAAACCTGATAAACGCAAGATAAATATATCTCCAAAAATCACTAATAAACGGATTCGCAAACAGTTAACAACTGATGTCAAGGTTAAAGAAGAAGTCCAAACGAGTCTTGTAATTGAGTCACCAGTCAAACAAACAACTAAATTGAAGAACAAAAAGTCGACGAAAAGGCCAACTCCTAAACAAAACAAAATTTCTAACAAAAAGAAAGTTTCTGTCAAATCAACAGCAAAATCATCGCCAAAACAAATAAAACTAAAGAGTCGTTCATCAAAAGTGACTCAAAATAAAAATAAGTCTAAGAAATGATTTAAACTAATATTTTGTAAATATTTTATTTACTTTTGGTTAATGTAATCAATATTATTATTATTATTATTTACCTTACCGGTAAGTTTGATTTATAAATATTACTAAATAATTATAATAATTATAATCAAATTATTAAAAACACGTTTTCAATTACCGGTAGTATTAATTTTATAACTTATAAATACTATAACAATATTTTTATTAATATTTTTAGAGATTCATCTCTATTATACAGTAATGTAATATTTTTTTGTGTTAATCCAATGCACATCAAACTAATTAGTAATGAGTAAATCATTACCAATAATGCGAATTTTTTGTTGTCTTTGGATTAATATTTAATCTCAATTATTTAAAACTTATAATAAATACTTGAATAGTATTATAAATTTATAATAATTATTACTATTATAATTGATAATGATAATAATTTTTTAACAAATACTAAATTTTATTATTAAAATTATAATATTATCTGTAATTATATTATGAAGTTTCATTAAAATTCTTAATAAAGTTTTTTTTAAAATTTAAATACAATGTTTATTTATTATCTAATAAATTAATGAATTTATTATTATTTTAATATATTATATAATTACGGTAAGTTGAAACTAATTGCATTGGCTATTTTGTTTTATAATAATTGATTTGTAAATTAGGTTTTAACACAAAATGTTTATATTACTGTAAAGACTAAGATATTAATTTGTTATTATAGTTATAAAAAGATATGTAAATCATTACAAATATTATCATAAATAAACACATTTTAATATTAAATCACATTTATCTCAATATAAATTATAAATTCGGATATATTTTTGTAAAGATATCTTTGATTATTGTCAACTAATGTTAATTTTTGTATTTACAAACAAAATATAAAATATATTGCATTAAATTATGTATTCTACAATTATTAATTTATTATTAAAGCATTAACAGTATCGTGAGTTTACATATTTTTACAAAGATGTCAAGGTACTTTAAATATTTATAAGATTTATAATATATATTAATAATTATCAAAAAATTTATAGTTATATAAAAAAAACTACAAAATGTAAAACAAATTAGTCTATTCTGATAATGTTTAGAAATTTTTCTTTTTTTATGAAATGATTATTGAAAATAAATTAAAAATTCAATGAATTCATAACTAATATTTGAAATAATAATCATTTTTTCAAAATTTTTCTCATTTGTTGGCTTTGCTGTTGAATTCTGAGTTCAGTTCTTTCAGTTTGTTTAGTGATTCTGTCGATGAGCTGATTCTGAACATCCAATTCATTGCCCAAATCTAGTGATAATTCTTTGAGTCTTTGGAGTCCGAAATCAATTTCATTTAAATTTTCTTCAATTTTATCATTCATTTCATTGGATTTATGCCAATATTTAATGGTTTCACTTTTGTTTTGGATGTCAACAAATGTCCATTCATTTTCATTGTAATTATTATCATCAGATATATTATCATTTGGTATACCATCGGTTACATCCGTGACATCAATGGATTTAGACTCAATACAACTCTTTGCTTCAAATAAATCACTTTTATAAGACACAATAGTTTCAGATTTATTATTTGATTTCTTAGAAGAGAAAACACTTTTAAATCCACTAAAAAAACTTTTCATTGATTTAAGATGTTTTTGACTTTGATTGAGATCGGCATCAATTGAAACGAGTTTATCTTCAACTTTGTTTAATGTCTCTCTTTGTCGGACTAATTCCCGACCAGTTTTTATACCAATTCTTTCACTTTCTAAAATCAAACTCAAAGTTTGTTTACAACTCTCGAGTGAATTCTCTTCTGTTTTTAACTTTTCTTCAAACAGTTCTCTTCTTTTGTCTTTCCATTCACTAAAAGACATTTCTTTTGATGATTTCTTATCTGAAGCCAAGTCATTGTCACTACATTTCTTAGTGAACTCAACTTTGGTGTTACCATTAACTTCATAATTATCATTATTACTAATACTATTCATATTTTAAATATATGACAAACAGATTATCTAAAAGTAATATAAATTAAAGTCAAACTAAACAGACTTTTAAATTCAAAGATTTAATTTTAATTGTAAAATAATTTATTAATACACTGTTAATATTGCATAAAATTGATGTTTGCTGTAAATACTGTTTATTAAATGTTTGTTTATTAAATAATCTCAAATATTAATCAAATATTTACTTATCAATCAAAATGACACTAAAAAAATAACACTTTGATGTTTGCAATGCTTTTTTAAAACAACTTTCATCACTAATTTTAAAGTCTCTCAAATTTAATTTTGTCCAATAAATTAATATTTAATTTACTGTTTAATTGATTAATAGATAAGTACAGTATTATAGTTATAAAGTTATATAAATTTATATACTAATATATTTTGTTTGTTGTCACAAATGTAGTGAAATTTAAGTATTTGCTAACAATGTTATAAATATACAAATTTAAACCACTTTTACATAATTATTAGCAATTTAATTTAATTAAAAAAATAATATACTGTACACTAAAGTTATAAAGTCGTAAAATAATACTGTATTATACGACTTCATAACCTTATACAGTATTATATTGTATTATACTGTATGTACTACTGAATAGTATTATTATAATTTAATATTAATTTTGATGAGTTTATGCAATTAAAATAGCAGTTTGTTTGCAAATTATCAGTGAAATTGAGATAATTTCCGACAATATTTAATACCAAAAACTGATAAGGAAAGCATATTTTGATATATAATATAAAATTATATTATTGGTTCACAAATGATATCATATTATTTTATTATTGCAGTCAATGCATAATTCATTGTAAAACTATATTATATTATAATTTGTTTATTTATTCACATTTCATTTAATAAATTAAACAATTTTCTTTTAGTCATAATTTAATAATTACCGGTATTTTTATTTATTTATTTTATTTGAATATTAAGATATTTATAAATATTAACATATATTGTCATTTTGATTGTATTGTTAGAGTTTATTAGATTTACTTTTTATATGTGGTTAACAAGTGATATATTTTTCTCAATTAGTTCATAGGGTTTATCGCATAAAAACTTTCATTAATTTTACTTTAAATTTGGCAATAATTCAACATTTATTTAATATTGTACTATAAATATTGTATTCAATAATAATTTTGAATTAATGTGAAGAATTAATTAGTTATAAATAAAATTTCAATATAAAATGTATAATAATAATAAAATATCAAATTAGAAATAAAATGTGATAAATTATAATTATTATTTTGATGTATAATTAATTAATTTTTAAATCTTATTATCATTTAATTACATCAAATAAATTAAAAACTATTGTTTGAAACCCTTTAGTCAAAAACACATGAGATGTCTCTCTAAATGTTTTATTTACTATTGAATTATTGCATTCAAAAAAAGTTTTATTAATAGTTGTTTACAAACACAATATGTTTGGCAACTGATTTGAGGATCAAATTAAGTGATAATGTGTTTGAAATGGTTATCATTTTTTATCGATATATTTGTTGTCCGCAAACGTAAAAAGTGTGTAATAATAGTGACAATTATATCAATAGTTATTTTAATATATTTTATTACAAATTTTAGTCAAATATTATCTAATTTAAAGTGCAATCAATTGAAAAGTAAAGCATTGAATGAAATATGTATTGAATTTATGAGAAATCAATTTACAGGTCATTTGTGTCATGAATTGTGTCAATCAAAGACATTACAACTGATTGAGTGTCCAAATATTGACGGACACAACGGCAAAGACTATGTGTTTGTCGGTCACCGATATGATCAACAAAGTGGTCAACTCGTTGACAAAATTGTTTTAAAAGCCAGAACTTTGACGACATTTGAATTGATTGGAAGCACTTCTTGGATAAAAAGTTTTGCAAATAATAGACAACTAATTATTAAAGCAATTAATGATATAATGACTGCAAGATTTGGACGATTACCCAAACAACAAGTGATCTCCGATACTAATGATAATCAAATAAATTACTTTTATGTAAACCAATTAATTGATGGATTAATTGATGGTAAAGGAGATCAACTGAACGAAACAATTTTGACAAATATATGGCTTCTCATACAAGACAATGAGTATGTCTTAAGCAAAATCTATCCAAATATATTCCCTACAGTTGTGGGCACTTGTGGTCACTTTTATGGTGTCAAATATGCCGATCGGGTGATAGATATCTCTTACTTTACTCCACATTATTGGCCACTTGTGTCACAAACTTTTGAAAAGCGTATAGAAATTGGTATAAAGATAATGACATTTTTAAGAGACTTTATTTTAATTGATCCAAAACTTGAGTTGTGTGACATCAAGTTTGAACATTTGGCACTCATGAGTGGTCGTCTGTATTTAATTGATTCAGATATGATATACACTAAAAAAGCCGTTATTGAGTCCATTGAATGGATCAGCCATTGCAGTGAAGACAGTGATTGTGATTTTATAGATTGTAAAGGCGTTTGTATTAAAGATAATAAATGTGTGATTGAAGTTACCGACGATGACCTGTCAAGAGTTTGTCGCAATATCTTCTTTATGGGAAAACTATATAATTTGATTGATTTGGGATTATTTTCACAACAAACTAATGATTTATTTATTAATAAAAGTATTCAATTAATACATAATCATTGTTTCAATAGGACTGATCTCATCAGTGATATCAATGCTATTCATTTAATTTTATTAAAAATTAAGTCCAAACTTAGCAACAAATCTGAACTTTAAAACAGTAGTTCTTATAAATAAATGTTTTATTATTTTAATAAATGTTTATTAATATATTTTTATAGCAAATTTAAAAAATGTAAATTAATTTATTTAATAAAAAACTTTTTATAATTTGTATTTCAACGACAATAACATTGTTGATGAATAGCACTCAATATTATAGACTCTATAATATAGAGTATTGTATTAAAAACAAAAATAGTAAACAAAAAACATTTGAATGAAAATGTGATTCAAAAGCATTTAAATTATTATTTGTTTATTAATATATAAATTATATTTGAATTGACGTCCAATTGATTGCTTCAAAGTTAATGTCTGACAATGTCTTTAAAAGGTTATCATTAATAATAGATTTGATATTATTGTTGAAAATAATAATATTTTGATGAAAACACTATCTAATTGTGTTTGTCTTTAGAGGTATACAAAGGCCTGCCATCGGAAGCGCTATCAGTGGCCAATCGGATCGGTTTAAAGCACAGCAACAAAGATAGTGGTGACAAGTCTTTTGTTAATAAGTTTGTGTCGCAAAAGATTATTGACGAAGAGTTACGATACACGACATACCTGTTGAAGGATATACCGAATAAATTTAACAGAAAAAAGAAGAAAAACAAGAAAACTATTGGATTAAATGCTAAACAAAGAAAGAAATTGTTTTCTTTGAAGTCAAATGATGTCAAATATGAGACATTTGAAAGAATTAATGATTTGTGGCACAAATACATTGATTCAGTAATTAATGAAATCAAATGCAAAAGCGATGAAATCAAACTAATTAGGGCTGACTTTCACGGCGCGTATGTCTATGTGTCCGCCGCCGCAAACCCAACACTGGTCGGCGTTAAGGGCTTTGTTGTCTATGAGACCAAAAATACATTCAAAATTGTCAATAAAGACAATCGACTATTAAGTAAGTATTTAATAATAAACTAATGATTTATTTTAAAGTATAATACAATAGTTTATTATTGATTAGCGATTCCTAAAAACGGTACACTTTTCGCCTTTGAACACAATCAACAAATCATCAAATTTAATGGTAATAACATACGGATGAGTTCACATCATAGGTCTAAGATTAAGCCAAAACTTAAATTATATGAAAAATTTGTTGATTTTTAAATAAATCTTTAATCACTGCAATGATATAATGATTTGCAACAATTAATTAAACTTAATGATAATGCATATTAATATACAAAAAAAACTATTTATATTAAAAGTAAGCGACGACTCTATCTATCTCTTGGAGGTCATCCATCACTTGCGAAGGTGTGGTACCAATCTTTTTGGCCAAATCTGACTTCTCATTCATCGAAAGTGTAGCGAATTTAGTGAGCAGATCGCCGTCTAATATGTTTTTGCATGGATTAGTTAACTCAGGTCTCGAGATTTTGATCATTCGGAACGCCTTTGGATTAAGTCCTGCCGTATGTTGGAGTGAAATGGTTAATACGTTTTGTAACATCAATAGTCTTCGGTATGTCTTCTCTGAAATTGGTAGCAAATATCCGAGACTACCATCAAGTGTTGCAAACATTGTTATTTGTCTCGTCTGTAACTGTTGTTTAACTCTTTTGTCTTTAATATTTACGGGAACTTTACATTGAATTCGAAAAAATGAATTAATAACTGAACCGAAGTAATAGTCGGCTCGTCTTAATAGTCGTGTTCCTCCCATACTTTCCCTCACTTCTGGTTGATATGAATATAAAATTATATTCTTTTCAGAATCAGAAACAGCGAAACACATTTGTGAACCATCGACGGCATAATCACATGAATACACTTGAAGTGAACGACAATCTTTGCTGACAAGCGATAGAGTTCGGGTCTCCTCTTGATATCGTAGTATTGATATAGACTTATAGATATCAGCAATAAGAACGAGATTTTTGATGGAAATGGCTGAATGAATGTAGATTTGAGTGTCGATGAAAGCGATTCCAATAAGTGATGATTCCTTTAACTGCCAAATATATAGTTTTTGACCGATTGCTGTCAATAGAAATCCTTTGACCTGACAAAGAGTAGTGACCGGACCTTTCTGTTCCTTACAATAAACTATTTTAATCTTATTTTTAGTTAATGGCATTCCTGGTTCAGGAACTACTTCAATGATGTCAAGAATCCAAATCCGCCCTCGATTTGTGACATCTTCGCCATAATTATAATTAGTACCAAAAGCTATGTATCCTTTAAGTCCGGATTCTGTGCCCTCGGAAGCGAGCATAACATTCTTAAGGCACGTCACGTGTTCCCATTCCTCTAATTCCACTTTTGTCTGCGGTATTATATCCCAATTAACGGGTGATATGAGTTGAATTGAAAACCGTTCGGTCTTCGGATAAATATATCTGTTATCTCTTTCAAGAAAGTCGTAATCTTTCTCTTCGCCACCAATTCTGACAATTTTGGTAACTTCTTCCAAAACACTGGTCACTAAACAATATGTCTTACTGTCGACGTGATAGTTAATGAAATGTGGAGTACATCTAAGTGGTACTTTCCTGACCGGCCAATTAGCGTCATAACTGAGATGTGTTCCCAAAGCACATATACGTAACTCTTCTTTGCTATTGAAATACAAGAAACCTTTTTGACAGTTGACGTTATGAAAAGGCGCAAAACAAGTAACCGATCCATCGATAGTCATCTCATGAATCCGTAACTCTCCTCTGAATGTCATTATAAACCAATGAGGATATGGACTGCAGAGGAAAACTCCAGAATAGCCAGAAATATCTTGAAAGCAACGCAACCACATCTTAGTTGTCGGTAAACTACAATTTTTTTCTGTTTCATTCGAATCGTTTTGATTGGTGTTTCGACAAAATTTTGGTTCATTTACAAGAATATTATGATTTGTAAACTTTTTAAATCTAAGTTTCAAATGGTTATCAACTTGTGTTTCATTATAAGGAAACGCTTCATAAATAAGTAATTCGTCATCAAATCGGGCGAAAAGCATTGGTCGCGACTCTTTAGCTCCCATTCCTGTAATCAAAATTTCACGAGTGATTGGCATCGATGAGGGCAAGTCTTGTTGCTGTTGAGACCCAGTATAGTCTGTGCTCTGAACACTATCCACCAGAACTTTGGGAGCCATCGGAAAGTTCTTAACTAAAAACGTTATTTTAAATGTCGGTAAACTATAGATCTCAAGAACGCCATTCTCTCTGACAATAAACAACCAATAAGTTGGTTCTTGTGATTTGACTTCTTGTAATTTACATTCATCTGATTCAGAAGTAGTCGGCACGTCATTGACTTCAGCAGTTTTTATAGTATTATCTATGCTATAATCGCCATAAAGAAGTTCATCTTCTTCATCAACTGTAGTAGCATTTGGAAGAGCAGACAACTGTGCGGCCACTGTTGTCGATGACTTAGGAACTGTCGACGGACTTGTGTTTGCTTTAGTAGTGTCTGTTTGAGTCTCGGATTTAGTTGTGAACAGACCACTGGTATCTTTATAGACACAAATGGTCACAATTTTAGACTTTGCTGTCGATAATTCTGGTCTAGAGATGATAAGACGGGCATTGCTTCCGGCTTCATGTTTAAGACATAATAAAATAATAACACCATTTTGGCTCATAAGTACAGCGTATGGATCTGCTAATGATGTGTAACAAATAGGTGATCCCACGTCTATAGGAAAATGCTGAAGTTCACGGACACCGTCAAGTAGTCGTACACCCATTGGTGACACTTGAAGTATATATTGATTGGAACCTAAATTACCCGCAAATATTGTTGACGTTTGACTACTGAAACCACTTTGATCCAACTCATTGATCTCTTGACCTGTTTGAAGAACAAGAGTGGCATCAATTCTGCTAATTATAAGATAGGCGTGCATTAAGTTTGTGTCAGTCTTTGAATCATTTGTATTGTCTTTAGTTGACTGTGAATTAGGACCATAGACTGTCCACATATCGGTACAACCGGGCAATTCAAAAGTGGTCACTATTTGTGGTCTTATTGTTCTTTGAAGAACACTAAGCGCTCCATTCTTAGCAAAACCAGAAGTAGTGACTAATTCCAAGTCAGGCTCTTTACCCGATGAAAACTCTTCGGCCAGCATTTGCGGTTCTCCCATACAAATCTGACCGCACGGACTGATGTTAATAAGTGAATCACAAACTTCAAACACAAATGTTGTCGGCGTTTCCTTTTTGTTTTGCAATGTCTCCTGTTTTCCATAAGCTTCAAATAAATCCTTGTCCTCAATAAGGGCCACATCACCGGCAAACCAATTACCGATATTATCCTTTTCTGGATCCACAGGCACATCATTTTCTTCTATTTTAATTTTTTTATTTAATGGTTCTCCAAATTCGTCAATTGGTTCATCAGATTTATCTTTGTCATCGTCTTGTTTGTCATTATTTTGTTCACTTTGGTCATCACAAGGAGATTTCGTGTCAAGATTGGGCTCTTCAACAGTTGAATCTGCAATTTCATCAATGACTGGTTTTGATTGGATTTCATCGTAAGGTCTTTCACTGTAGTGGACAAGTATGGAGTTTCCGAGTCGTGAACCGAGAAATATATAACCGTTTTCGCATAAAGTAATAGAAGTCGAGAGAACACTTGCGGCACATCTGTCAAAATGAAAGCCTCTTATACTACGAGTCATATCATTGGAAAGACTTAAGACATAGAGTTCTCCGGTTCTCAAACTTATTACTAATTTATCATTAGATATGAAACAGGCTTTGGATGCGTCCAATGATATCTTGACATCTTCTTGTGTTTTCAATAAGAATGATGTGTTGCCTTCAGTAAAACAATTGAGTGAAACACCATATGGTGGCAGTCCTTGATTTAAATGAATCAGTGAATTATTAGCAAATATTAAGACACCACCGATAGGTTTGGGAACAGGCATTGCTTTGAAGCAGTCATATGGCAAATGATTCATAGACCAAATGTGTGGATGAACCCGTTGGTGGACATCCAATGATAGTACAAGCATAGCACATGTATCCTGACGGACTGCCACACGTCCAGCCCATGTGCGGACCGGTTCGTAAAGTATAAGAAGTGTTGGCTCATAATAATTGTGCAGAAATTGAATATCAAGAATATTATTGACTTTTTCTCCGTATTGTTCACTATTGAGATCCAATTTATACGAAGCCATAACCGGTGACTTGGAAGCCGTTCCGCCCACAGGGAAGCTAACCGTTGAAATATTTTTATGATCATCACCCGTAGCGATATCCTTACGAAATGGCAAAATCATAATATTCTTCGAGTAGAGCAATAGAGCCGCACACCGACCTTCGGGATCGCATCGGACGACTGGCGGCATTGAAAACTGTGTAAAACCTCCTCTCATCTCCTGTTCCTCGAAATAGTGAAGTGAAGTGGTCTTCAAGTCGTGAGTGTTTGGGTCGTACTCAACGATAGACAGTTTGGCCGATCGGAAGGCCAATAATATTGAGTCGCGTTGTGAGCCGACAAACGACACTTTAGCGATGGACTCGATGTTACCGAAAACTGTAAAACTCTGCATACACTCCAATCGCACTCTCGACGCATCCCTACCGATGACCACCACTTCATCTTTTTGTTCATCTTTTGTCGTTTCATTGTTCACTTCATTTTCGGTGACCAATCGGTAAACTTTAAGTTGTGTTGAGCCGATTGTCACCAAATTGTTTTCATAATTGTTATAAAAATTACAATAAATAGAGTCCTCGATATGTGTCGGCAAATGACTGGTCCGACAGTAGGCATACATTGCGATCGATATATCAGTGCATTTGATGGACAAAACCAATCAATAGATCCAAGACTTGACTCACTCTTCAAATAACGTGACAATTGATGACAACTTATAATATAAACAATTGCTATATAGAGGGCAACATTGTATACAATACACATCAATATATTAATAGTATTTATAATACATATAACACTGTATTATTGCAAACATTATTATTAGTGTATTGATTAATAATTTTTTATACTCTATTAAATAGTTGTTATAATAGTTGCTAAAAAACGTCAAATAGTTGTTAAAATAGTTATTTAAACTGTATTAAATAGTTGTATATAGTTGCCAAAAAAGCCAAATAGTTATTGAAATAGTTATTTATTTTCTTATAAATATTTCAACTGACATATAATTCACTTGTTTTCAGCATATTTACAAAAATGATTTATATAAATAAACTAAATATTTCTATTGTTAAAAAAGTAATATGAGTTGATAACAGTTTACACATTTTATATAATTTATATAACTATTACTTTTTGTTTTTACATATATTTGAGCAATATTTTACAATCTAATGCTTATATTTTTCAAAATAACTGAAATAGTTATTTATAAGTTTTTATAGTTGCTAACCTAACAAATAGTTATTTATAGTTATAATAAAATTTCGGAAATAGCGTCCACTGGTCAACTTCGGTGGACATACTAAGTCCCAGTTATAAGCGTTAAGCCGACAAAATAATTTATTTAGTTGAAAATCAAGACACTAATTATTATAATAGTAAACACATTATTAATACAAATACTTGATTTTACTATACTTTCCAACAAATCTTTATTCCAATTGCTTTATTCATAGACTACTAAATAGTATTGTATTTTACAATTTATAATAATAATAATTTAACTAATAATATATAATTATTATTTTGTAATACAAATTATAATTGTTATAAATATTGAGTATATTATTAATACTTATATTTTACAATATTTTTTATTTAATAAATTTATCTCAATATTATCATCATATCACACATAATTTATGATGAGGAGAAAATTTAATAAAATATTAGAAATATTCAATGAATTATTCATTAATAAACCTGCTTAATATTTATTTTTAATTGTTATAATATTTTATTTAGTTAAAAATTTAAATAATTATTTAAATATTCTCTAATATAATAAATATAAATTTTTAATTACTGTAAATTTAAAAATCAAATTTCAATATATAAGTAATTTGTATTTATTAATTATTTATAGTTATAGTTTATTAGTAAATAAGCAAATGTTGTATACAGTATAATAATAATGAAGTAAATTATAGCTATAATTAGATTAAACATCTTGTAAATGATATATTAAATATTAAGCACAAACATCACTAGTTGTGTAGTTTAAAGCACTGGTATGTCAATGACTATGATTGTAATAGTGCTGATCAATTATAGGGTAATCAATTAGTTTTGAAACACTAAGTGTCTATTAATTCTTCATTACTGTAGATATTTAACATTAATTTTAATAAATATTTTATTTGAAATTCTATTTATTTAAAATAAAATGCCTTAAGTTTATAATAAATATATATATATTAATTATAGTTTGTAAAAATTGCTATTAATAATTTTTATTAATAAATATTTCTAAATTATATTAATATACCTGTATTTATATTTTATTAAGAGTATTTCAAATAATTTATAGTAAAACTCAAATAAATATATTATTTTTAAAACAACATTTTATTTAAAACATTTGATGTTAATGTTTATCTTATTTAAATAACATATGCACTGTATTTTACTGTACAACCGGTATTTTAATTTTTTTTTAATATAATTTTATAATAAATATCAAATTCTTATACAGTAAATGTTTCAATTTAACAATTATAATGATAATAATAATGTTGCATAAAATTATACATAAATTTGTGCTTTTAATAATCAAAATACAGTATATAATTATGTGACAAGAATAATGATCACTTGATTTAAAAAATTAAAACAATATAAAACTAAAAATATAAAATATAAAAATATAAAAATCAGTGTTACAAAATTAAAAAATCTAATAAAATAATATAATATATAGTGAAAATGATATCTTAATAACATATAATGATTTTATCTAATATTTAAACAGTTCATCATAAATTATAGGTGAATGAATTGACCAAATGTTTAGTAATTGCACATATTTTTTTAGATCTTTATATAAATAATTTTAATAATAATAATAACAATAATTATATAATAATAATTATTATTGTAATTATTAATAATAATTAGTGTTCAGTTGATAATGAATTTGATGGCACAACGACTAGCTATACCTCAATATTACTATAAAATTTTACAATACATTCGACATATTTGTATAATAATTAATAAAAAAAGTCTACTTTAATTTAATAATTAATTTAAAATACGTACTATAAATATCATGTATAATACAATATTTGATTGCAAATTATATCAATAGTTAACAATAAATAATTAAATTAAAGGAACAATTGTTTTAAAATAATTCCCAGTATTTAGTTTTGTCGACTAGTTTTAAAAAATAATAATAATATTAATGAAATATCGATACATAACTTATATGAAGTTTGAGATCAAACCAGACATAAAACTATAAACGCGAGAGTATTCTGAATAAAATGACAATTAATATGATTTTATTTTTATTAATTTTTTGCTGAAGGAGTTGTTTAATGTGTCTCATGTCGTGACAAACTCTCAGCCATTTAATGTCATAACACTTGAGTTGATTATTCGTTTTTTATTATCTTATTATTATCTCTGACATCACCTGCACCGACAGTAAGAGCAGATGCACTACTTTTGACGACAATATTTGCCGAACTGTTGGATGCATTAGAAGCAGGTGTTGGGCTTTTGCTCATCTTATTGTCAGAAGTAGAGCTCAGTGTTTGCGATCCATTTAAGCCATTAGTGGTTGTGTTCTGTTGGCAAACCCTGTGATGATTTTCCCAATCCTTGTGCTGACAGAATGAGCCACAATATCGGGCAGAATTACATCCACTGCACGTTTCACTTGCTTTTCGGCCACAATTCCAACAGTTCTGACAATTAAAACATAAAATACCAATTATTACTAATTTATATAATTAAGACATCAATTATATAACAAACTTCAGTTGAGTCGTCCTGTCGTGTAATTGCTGACAATGCCTCATCAGCCGCTTGTCTTCGGGCATCAGACACTAGTTTCTCCATTTTTATCCGTTCGGTGGCAACTAATTCACTGGCTTTGGTCTCAGCGGCGGAAACAGCTTTCTGTAATTCAACCACTGCTTGACGTTTGACTTCATTAACGGCTTCCTCTTAATTATAAATATTTATTTTCAACTATTATTTAATAAAAAAAATCAAATAACTTTATAATTACCCAATTGTTTGTGAGAGTTGGGAACCCGTCTAATATCAGCGATTCTATCCATTTCAGAAATGGCTGTCTTTGGAAAGTGATTTGAAACTATGCCATCAATTCTTTGTTTTTTGATGTCATGAAAATCGTGTGAATGTGAAGAATGATTTGACACATCCAAAGTATTGTAATGTCTTCCCCGCAGTGCTGGGACTGACCAGTGATTATAATCGGTGTTTCGGGAATCACTTCTGTGCTGAAGAATACTAAGAGCTCTCTTTGTTTTCTCTACCATTCCAAGGATACAGTTAAGCATCTTTTAAATTAAATGTTTAAAAAAGATAATTCTGTTAATTATTTCAATTTTTCTAGTATTATATAACAAATTGATAATTATATATTACAGTATTAATGTATCTAACAATATAATCTATAATACAGTATCTATTTATCATAATTGAATAATAATCATATAAACTAAAATTTTATATACAGTGTTTATATTTTTCCACTCCTCTTCCATATCCCTATCCTCACTATACTCCCGGTGCATCTGAGAATACATTCCAGCCACTGGTCGATAGTCTCTTTCATATGAAAATCTATCATTTGAATGATCGCCTGAAACGTGCAATGAATGGTTTCTACCATTTATTGCATTTTCTCTGTTATTATTGTTATTATGATAGAGAGCGGGTGCGCTGGAACTGGTGGTCTCATCATATATACTACGACTAGAAGTTGATAGGTGTGAGTGTAGTATAGACGGGTTGGTTATGTGATGACTGTGATGATGACCACTAGTGTGTAACAAAAGTGGTGCCAAACCGGCTGGACTCAAACGTGTGCCTATTGTTGGGCTTATTATGGACTGATGCCTTTTAGGTGGGGGCGGACCTGACTCTCTATCAGCTGCCGATTCATTAAATCCGTTTTCTTTTATTAATCTATCAAAAAAATTACAAAAGAATTAAAAGATTTGCATTATTTAATAATTTATACAGATTAGTTATCTTATTATAATGCCTTAATTTATTATTTGTTTATCAATTTTAATTAAACTTAATTTATGACAAAATAATTAATTTTATAACCATTTTTATTTGATTTGCTTTGACATATTAATAAATACAGTAAAAAAAGATATTTTAAGCATTTAATACAATAATATATTTTAGTATTTTTAATACAAAGAGATAATTATCGATTGTTTTATAAACTGTATAATATTGATATAATTTATATTAAATTGATGTCGATATTTGCATATAAATTATTTGATAACAAATGTTGTATTTCAAACATATTGTAACTTTTAACTCAAACTCTGACCTATACATTGAATAAAAGCAAAGCTTATGTGAATTGCTTTAAAAGCTCTTATTATGTAATAATATGTTAGTTATATAGAAATGTAATGTTTTTAACAATGAGTTGCAATCATTGAAATCGTCAAATGACTTACATGTCAGGCGATTGCCGTCTTTTGTTGGTTTGATTATCTTTTTGTGTATCATTTCGTTGAAATATCTCAAACGGCTCTCCAGCCGATAGTGCAGTCAATTGAGCGCTTGAGTCGAGAATCAATGACTCGTGTTCTCGCAGATACTGTGAGGGATTAGTTTTAGCCACACGTGCGAAGTGCACGATCTCTGTCTGAAGGATTGGCAGATGAAGCTTAAGAAAAGGTATGACATATGGCCTCAAAGGATAGTTTGTTATCTCTTGGATTTTCTGATGAAACTCTTCTGTACTAATCGTCCCATTCTGTCATTTATATCAGTTATTAAATTATATTTTAAATTAACAAAATATTTACGTCAATTGATTATTTTTATCAATTATTAATAATAAACTACACTAAAAAACTATTCATATAAGTTTTTAAATAATGATAATTGCAAAAAATGTATAATAATGTCTTTATATCATACAATAAATATAGTTATTTGTTTTCACACTTATTATTTAAATACTTAATTAAAATAAATTGTTAATTAATACTTTTCTGTGTATACTGTATGATATATTTATAATATACATTTAAGTGTTATTAATTAAAGTTTAATTAAATTTTATATAAAATGAACTCCAATAAAATTTTCTTATTAATTTTCAAATAATGTTTAAAATATATTATTTTATGATATTTTATAATATTAAGAATTTTTTATATACTAATTGTTGGCATATTATATAAATGTGTTTAACATAACACTATTTGAATGTTTGCATTCAATAAGTTTTTAAATGTTAAAAATATTGAAGATATTATAAAGGCTCGAACTCTGAACCCTCCTATCAAGAGAGCGAATACCTACTAAATGTTTTTGTTTTGTTGACAATAATTGTCTAAATTTTTACTGAGTAATAGTAAAAGGGTTTTAAATTTATTAAAAATATATTATAACTAACCTAATCATTCTACAATAAATCTATATTGTTAATTTTGCGGTATTTTGTTATTTATAATATATTATATTGAATATATTATAGTTCAACAGGTAACATAAATTTTATTATAAATTAGTAAACTTATTAAATACTGTATAATAAATAATAGTTTTATATTTATTCTTATATATAAAGTGAATTATGTTACAATTATAATTTTAAATGACAAATACAATATATGAATAGTAAATAATTACTTACAATGAGTGCAAATATCAATTGTTTTACACGATCTCCCACTTCATGTGATATTTCATTAGCAAATTGATAGAGAGTTGTCAAAAATCTTTTTAATTTAGTAATTTGTCGAACATTTGAATCACTTTGGTTTAAATGTGAACGTGAGGTCATGTTAGTAGCACTGGGAGGTGATGGAGAGTCGGATGAATTGCTAGTAATATGACTATTATTTGATGGCGAATGACTTCCTCCATTCACAGAAGCTATAAAATTATAATTATATTAATCTAAACAATTTGTTTTTATAATTTCATTATTACTATTATAATATATATATAAATTTACAATTTTTAGTCGATAATCCACTATTAGGAAAATTATTATTAATTTGGATTATGGAGGGTTGGGGTGGGGGTGGCGTTGAGGTTGATTTTTGACTAATCTTGACTTCCGATGGAGACGTTGGCATTAGATTTGAAGTGAAAGCAATAGAGCGGACCAGATCTGTATACACAAGAGGCCAATTGAAAAACCATTTATCAAATTATTTTACAAATATTTTTCAATCAAATGTTTAACCTTTTTTCCAAACAGGCATTTCTCTGTATAAATTCATTACACAGTAGTTATAATACTTATTACACAACAGCTCTATTCAATGTTTTACAAAACTTAAAATATATATATATCTATTGTATAAATATATAAATTAGTAATATATTTAACACATAAAAAAGTATAACAAGTAAACATAAAAAACAACCAGTAAATTAAATATTATTGCAAATAACTAAAACTTAATTTAATTATATTCAAAATTTAATTATTTTTGTTGATTAGAACTATAGGATTACAAAAAAAGTTGCTTTCAATATGATTCAAATTGTTTTCGACAATTTGCAATTGCATAGATAAGCGCATGCTTTATGTCGAAAGCAAAAATTGCTATCAAAAACATTTTAAATATCGAAACATTCAAATAATACACAAAACTATATTAGAAATATTGCATTTATGTGAAAATATCACACTTCATATGTAAAGTAATCTTAAAACTAATACATACACAGCATTTGCCAATAGAGAGGCAACTTATGTAAGACAGGTATGTTCTCAACGATATGTAATATATATATATATATATATAGAAAATTGTTTGTATAAAAACTTATAACTCTCTCTCTCTCTCTCTCTCTCTCTCTCTCTCTCTCTCTCTCTCTCTCTCTCTCTCTCTCTCTCTCTCTGATAACACATACTCTAACATATATTTATACTCATTAATATACACATTGATATATATATATATATTGTATATAATGTATATATAAACAGAGACTCAAACATATGTGACACAATCATGTGAAGGTAACCACATGTCAACTAAACAATGCACTCTTGGGTCGATCTGATGAATAAATGAGATGTCGCACACCATCTAATGCCACATATTATATCAATAACACATACACATACACATACACATACACATACACATACACATACACATACACATACACATACACATACACATACACATACACATACACATACACATACACATACACATACACATACACATACACATACACATACACATACACATACACATACACATACACATACACATACACATACACATACACATACACATACACATACACATACACATACACATACACATACACATACACATACACATACACATACACATACACATACACATACACATACACATACACATACACATACACATACACATACACATACACATACACATACACATACACATCAATTGAATTCTGAACACTTAAACATTTGCTATAAAAATTACTTCATATATATATATAATATATATATATATATATATATATATTATTATGAATATTACTAAATTTAGTGATATTCATAACAATATTATTACTATAAAATATTTTGAGAGAATTATTACAATTTTATTCAACAATTTTTCAAGTATTCAAATAATAATATTTATGGCAATTCTTTAAATTACATACAACAGAGAGAAGTGTGTGAAAAATTGTGATAACAGACACATAAAAATATTATTTAGATATACACTAATAGCAAGTTATTTATTTTTTTAAAAATATAAATATTACTGCTATCACATTTAATTATTTCACATTTTACTATATTAAAAAAAAATATTTTATCTATATCATTCAACAAAACAAAATAAATTGTTTTTTAGAAAAAGATTATAAATAATAAAAATGCACAATAAAAATGTTTATACAGATAGTTTAATATAAGCAAATATGAAACAGTTGTCTCTAAAATACATATACAATGGCTTAATGTTATAACATATAAGTATAGTAAAAAATGTCTTTTTTTTTATCTTATATATAAATGTTTTTATATAAAAAATATAATTAGAGAAGATATATATATATATATATATATATATATATATAATATCTTGTGGTTTGTGCAGTTTTATAGCACATGTCTATAACAGTGTATTATATGTTATTTTGTTTGCAAATAAAAAAATAGTTTCCGAAGATTTGAATCGTCGATAAATTGAGTAAAGTTTGTGTGAATTTAATTGCAATGATGTCGGGAACACAAACAGGTGTATCACTACTATTGACAACCAGTGAGAACTTCTCAATAAGTTTTGAGACTACCGTTTCTATTCATTACTATTTTTTTATATAAACTATAATAATAGTCAATATTAGAAATTAAATATATATATATATATATATAATATACTGTAGATGAAGCAAATATGAGTTAAATATAAGCTAGGTTATTCATTAATTAATTGTTTTATTGATTAATTCAAAAATCTAATTTGATTATTAAATTCTAATAAGTTATATTTAAATTATTTTTCAAAAACAAGATATAATAATATATAATATTATAATTTATATGTTTGCCTATCGTTTACAGCCGTCAGTACAGCAACCGTGGACTCAGAAAAAATAGAGCAAAAAGTAAATGCATTTTTGTTTATTAAAAAAACACTTTTTTGTTGGCAAACACTGACTTATATATATATATATATTATAAATTTTTATTTTCATTACAACTATTTTAATAAAAAAATATTATAATCAAACAAACAGCACAAAGCAAGACATCTGTGGCTTACTATATATACATAGTATGTCATGTGTTGCAAACTGTGGATAATATTTTTCCGTATATATATGTATTCCCTTATATACTGGAATAACAAATAAAAACGACAATTTGTTTTGTGAAAAATTAAATATGCATTTTTTTAGATCAAACCCGCATTTATTAGTAAAATAGCCAGTATTATATAAAAATAAATAAAAAAAGCCCACATTATGACTAATCAAACACTTTTGCAAAAAAAAATATTATAATTTGCCTGAAAAGTAATCTAATATTATTTAGTAATGAGATATCACATTTACGTATGTTAACACAAACAAACAAATCTGTTATATGTTATTTGTCTATTGAATCTTTATTACATATGTTTAATACTTACATTACTAAATTTAAATAAATGCATAAAATTATAAGATCCTAACATTATTTATATGAATGCATTATTTTTAGTTTATAGAAAATAGCTATCTTTTTAAACTTGTCTTATAATGCAATCAATGATTAGTATAATATCAATACATATCATTATAATTAAATCTGAATAATATATTTTTTATTTAGTCTATTATTTTTTTGTATTAAAATACAAATTAATATAAATAATAAAATAGGAAGGGAATAGAAAATTTTTAAAACCTTGTGATTAATTTTTAGTTTGCTATTTTAAATGATTATCTATTGATAAAGTTAATAATAATACAGTATTTTTGTGTTAAGTAAGTAAGTGAGTTGTGTATGTGTTTCTCTATGTGTTAAATGTTAATCTATAAATACGGTACCTGTATATTCATTTATGATATATAACATATAAATGATAAACTTTACTAATATCTGGTATATTATACATAATTTATAATTGTGTATAAAGTTACACATGTATTGAGCACCTGTTAAAACACATTTGTTTAAATTGTCTAAACTCTTCCCAATGATTATAACAAAATTTAATCACTTATTGTCAATAATTTTTATTTTAGATCTAAAATATGCGCCAATATTTTATTACTGACAGCACCTGGACTTTACATATCTGTCTAAGACTCATGTGATCAGTGTTTGTGTCATTTCTTGTAAACGACTTATCGTTGCGTCACAAAACACATTAAAGAAAACACATTTGTTTTAATAATTACAACAAAATGTGTTTTTTAATATAACAAAAATATGTTTACTGTGAGCTATAAGTTAACATTGGATATAACACTGTAAGCTTACACCTGTGCTAATCAAATGTTATAATTTTGTATACATTTGGACCTTATTATACATTATGTTCCTATTGTAGTCAACTGTAACTGTATTAACACAATCTGTATAAATACAATAAATTTTAATTGCATTACAAATTGTAAATAAGTCCTGAGATATCAAAACAACATCTGAAATATCAATTCAATTATTTTATAACACTATTTGCTAATAGTTTTTTTGCTAAATTGTTATAAATTCTTTCAAAGACTGCATATTCTTTGATATTATTATTATTTTATCAAATATTTATACACATTTCAAAAAACAACAGAATTTAATACAATATTATACTATTATACATAAAAATTAAAATACAAATATTGTCTATTAATATTGAATATATTTACGCTAATTTATATATATATATATAAATACCTAATATAATGTATTAACTAATGATGTTTTGAAACAAAAACCACTATCAAAGCAATTCTCAATGATTTTAATGGCAATCACTTTCACACAATCATAACATAAGTTTGTTTAAAACATATTTGCAAAATGCAAGTGATGTATGAGTTATGCAAAATAAGTGAGAGTAACACACATTTATTTTTTACGCCAATCTGTCGCACGACTCTCAGCTGTTTTGTCTATCATTGGCTACGAGTCAACACTTCCAGAGACCAGAAGTATTGAGAAATACTATTTTTGCTGTAATTTACAAAATCTAAACCATTATTACATCCGTTAAAATCAATTCAAATCATTTATTCCAAATCAGAATAATTTAATTTATTTTATAAATCAATTCATTAATCTATGAATTAAACACTTAAAATATATAAAAAATTAAAATTTTAGTTTTAAATTTTATTAATAGTTTTAAAAAATGTCATAAATATCTGATATAGAAATTAATATTAAATTTCAATTTATTTTATTCTAATATATTCTGTTTGTGATATTTTTTATTTATGACTCACTATAAATCAATTAATTAATTACTAATTTTAATTATATTGATTTCATTCTAGAAATGCAAAGTAAATTCAATATAATATATATGAAAATAAAAGTTATAGACATTATTAATAAAAAAAATATTAATTTAAGTTAATACTGTAAAAATTTAATTAAATATTGGTATATAAAATATACTGAGTTTATAGCTATGGGGCACTTGTATTAAAAACGATTCACAAGTTATCCATAAGAGTTGACTGTCTATGAAAGGCATTGGCATTTGATGTGTTAAAAACAGATTTCATATTTTGATGTCTGTGTAGAACAATAGGCAGTCATTGGTTTTTGTCAAACAC